GGGTTTTTCCTATTGAATTGTTTAAATTCCATATATATTTTGGTTATTAATCCCTTGTCACCTCTATAGTTTGCAAATATTTTCTCCCATTCCATGGGTTGTCTCTTCACTTTGTCGATTATTTCCTTTTCTATGCACAGGCTCTTTAGGTTGATGTGAGCCCATCTATCCATGTTTTCTTTGGTTGCCTGCACTTTTGAAGTCTTACTCAAGAAATCTTTGCACAGACCAATGTTCTGGACTGCTTCCCTGATGTTTTCTTGTAATAGTTTTATAGTTTCAGGTCTTAGATTTAAGTCTTTAATCCATTTGGATTTGATATTTGTATATGAAAAGAGATAAGAGTCTACTTTCATTATTCTGTATACTGTTATCCATTTTTCTCAGCACTATTTGTTGAAGAGGTTGTCCTTTTCCCTAATGTATATTCTTGGCAACTTTGTCAAAAATGAGTTGATTGTAAATGTGTGGATTTATTTCTGGGTTCTCTATTCTGTTCCATTGGTCTGCCTGTTTTTATGCCAGTGCCATGCTGTTTTGGTTACTATAGCTTTGTAGTATAATTTGAAGTCAGGTAGTATGATGCCTCCAGTTGTGTTATTGCATAACACAACAAAAGAATAATAATGATGACTCGCATTTACTGAGTCCACGTTGTACTGTTTCATATACACTCTCCCCTTTAATCCTCACAACAGCTCTTTGAGGTGACAACCATTTTTATCCCTGCTTAACAGATAGGGAAACTGAGCGCTTACAGTTATTGTTGCTTGTCACACAGCTGGTTAAAGAACAGCTTGGGATTTGAACCCATGTCTTTCTGATTTCTTAGCCCAGGGGTTGCCATAGTTTGCAATGTTGCCATAGTTTGCAATGAAATAAAATTTTATTGAAACATAGCCTTGCTCATTCATTTATGTATCATCTATGGCTGCTTTCACACTACAATGACAGAATTGAGTAGCTGCAACAGAGACCATATGGCCCAAAAAGCTTTAAATACTTACTATTTGGCCCTTTATAGAAAAAGTTTGCCAATCCATCTTAGCCTAAGCTAGGCTAAAATGATGTTCATTGAAGGACCAAATGACCTAATGACTCCATTCGTTCATGCCTACAGGGTGTCCCAAAAGTTGCCATACATAGGGAAAATGGGAAATTGTAGCTAAATGTACTTTTATTTACAAAATATGCATTACAAATTTTTTTTCTTTCTATGGAGACTTTTGGGACACCCTGTATATGCATTCATTCTATTAACATTCTTTGGAGCACCTTTTATCTTTTGTGTATCAGATCTTCTGCTTCCTTGGGTTGTAGGGGCCCATTTGTACTCAGTTTCCTTGTATTACTTTTTCTTTCCAAAGAATTCATACACTTGTAGTCCTTGTTAAAAGCTAAACCAGGTGCCTAATTCCCCATTTTCTCTGCCTTGTCTCTAGCCTAGACAAGAAAATCTATTTATTACTTTAAAAAATGACAAAAGAAATTAATCAGGATTTGGCAACTAAATTTATCATCTGGGAAGAATCCAAGAGATAAATTGAAGCACAGCTCTTTACTCCCCACTTCATCCCTTTCTCTCAGCCTGGCTTTATGGAAATGGCTGAGATGGCAGAGAAATTTAGGACTAACATTGCCAGGAAAAAACACACTGACAGCTAAATTAGTTTGGTAGCGAGCAGGGATGCAGGGCTCTAAGCCAGGGATGAATTATGGGTATTGAGTGAGGCTGGGGCAGGTACCCACGCTCTTCAGATCAGTAGGGATGTGAATGAAGATAAAAATGTGGCTAATTCCACAGCCTCACAGATTGCCCCAGGGAGACGGAGGCACAAAGACTACCCAGGTACCCGTGGTTCATACTCCTCACAATGCCGGGAAATTGCATACTAGGGACAGAAGGCCAGTGAGGTGGAGAGAGAGGGAAAATTGTCCAAGATGGTAGCACAAAAGCACACAGATGGGAGAGGAGCTCATACACTTGCCAGTGTCCTTGAAGTTTGCTGACTTGGTGGGAGGCCTGGCCATGGTCCCAATGCTGCACTTACCAGGACTTGGATGATTACCTGGGATAGCTTTCTCTCTCAGGATTCAGAAGTTAGCAGCTTAAGTTTTAGGACTCTAGTGGGTAGGGAACGGGGACAGAAGAGGAGCTGAGATTATTAGAAAAGTGCCTTTTCACATAAGGGAAAAAGCCAGTACTAACTGTTCTTGTGCTCTATGCAGAGCCCTTGTGGCCCAAGGACCATGTAATCAATCTGGCAGCAAACATATTGAGCCTTTGCTCAGTGCAATATTCATTGGAGGTGTATTAAGAACTATAAGACAGCTGGGCACGGTGGCTCATGCCTATAATCCTAGCACTCTGGGAGGCCTAGGCAGGAGGATCGCTTAAGCTCAGGAGTTCAAGACCAGCCTGAGCAAGAGCGAGACCCCGTCTCTACAAAAAATAGAAAAATTAGCCGGGCGTGGTGACTCACGCCTGTAGTCCTAGCTACTTGGGAGGCTGAGGCAGGAGGATGGCTTGAGCCTAGGCGTTTGAGGTTGCAGTGAGTTATGATAATGGATGATGCCACTGCACTCTGGCTCTGGTGACAGAGTGAGACCCTGTCTCAGAAAAAAGTATAAGACGTTAGGAGTGGTTAGTCCTCCCAACAATTCTATGAAGTAGATGTTATTATCGCCATTTTATAAATAAGGAATCCAAAGGTCAGAGAGGTTTAAATATCTTATGTCCAAGGCCATATAGCCAAGAAGTGACTTTAGTAGGATCTGAGCTCTCAGGTCTATGCTGCTTCTTGGGAAGGAGGGTCTGTCCATTAATATAAGATAGTGACACTGGAATTAGAAAGTCATGTTATTATTACTATATATATATATATATTTTTTAGAGCCAGAGTCTTACTCTGTTGCCCAGGGTGGAGTGCAGTGGCTTACTATAACCTCAAATTCCTGGGCTTAAGCAATTCTCCTGTTTCAGCCTCCTGAGTAGCTGAGACTAACAGACACATGCCACCATGCCCAGCTAATTTTTTTTTTTTTTTGTAGAGATGGGGCCTATGTTGCTGGTCTCAAATTCCTGGGCTAAAGCGATCCTCCCACCTCAGCCTCCCAAAGTACTGGGATTCCAGGCATAAGCCACCACATCCAGTGGACTATCATATTATCAAGAGCTCCTCCTAAGGGCCAAGATAACCTTATATTCTTGTCCTTTAGTCAAGAGGACTGTGGTGCTCCCACCAGTTGCTCACTGATTTGTGTTAGACCAATCCCTCTTATCCCTACTGTTGGTCCAGTGAGTTGGACAAACAAAGATGTATTAAGTTTGCTCTGATATCTGGACTGGATACTTTGAGGCCTGCCCTGGCACTGGTACCTCTTTCAACAGAGAAACAGAAAGAGAGGCTCAGAGCTAAGGCAAACACTCTGGAGTTCACATGCGGGGCAGGATAGTGGTTTTACAAAACTCTTTAAGTTGTCAGACATAGTGGTTCTACCCTCACTCACCTGCCTAAAGCCATAGGGTTGGTCACTTGTTAATTTAGATGGATTTGGTTTTCAAAGCAAAGTAGGAGCCACATCCACATCCATGTGAATGAGCAGAACCTGCAGTTTCTGTGCCCTGTAAGAAGCATGGGGTTTGGTTCTAGCTACACACCTCACTGTCTTTAGTGCTTCCGAGTGGGTGGGTACATACCACCCGTGCATCTGCAGGAAGTAGCCTTCCTGATCCTTCTGACTCCATCAGAAGGAGATTTCCCTCAACCCCCGCTGCGGCCCTGTGAAGAAGCCATTTCCCTGCCTGTCCCACTTCCTTGCTTCCTTTGCACACTCATTGCTGTTTCTTGCCCTGTTCTTTTCCCATTTCTTCATTTCTCCTCTTAGAGAAACTTTTCCTCCTTTGACTTGGCATGCTCTTCAGAACAGGAAAGGAATATAATTCCATATTCTTCCTTCCTTCCTTCTTCCCTTCTTTGGGATTTTCCCAGGCAGTTCAGGATCTAGAAATAGATCTCAAAGCCAGACAGGACAGATAGTCTACATGACCGGCAATGTCTTCATTCCCATCTTTGCTGTCTCCAAAGGCTTAGGGAGGTGACCGGAACTGGCAGTGCTGTCTCTCCCTCAGCTCTAGGAAGCCCTGGCATCACCTCTTTACCTATGATCCTGCCTTCTATAAGGTAATGTCGAGGTTTTGCTTATGTCAAAATTAGGTCTTTCTAATATAAAAGCTACAGATCCCTGTTCATACAGAGAGTCTGAATCTATGAGGCGAGACTTTTAGAGTGAATTGGGCTCAGATATCCAAAATCCTGAGGAAGCTTTGAAGCTCCTATTCACTGACCCTCTTGTAGGAAGGTTGCAGGCACAGAGGTTCTTTCTCATCCTCAAGTGGTGCTGAACGAGACAGGATTCATTCCACACAGCTGCCTGCCTGCCGCAGAACACGATCCCCACAATAAAGACTTTATCACGATCCTGATCCAGCAGCACACTGGAGTTCACCCATCTGGATTTAAAATCTTCGGTATTTCCCTGTTTGTCTTTCAGCATCACACATTGGCGTCCCCCAAGTACATCCCTTAGGCCACTTGAATCTGTTTTCAATCCCCAAAATAAGCAGCAGCAACACAGCCCTCTCTAAGAACGTCCACAGTGGCCAGCCCTCTCTAAGAACGTCCACAATGGCCACATCATCAGTCAAAGAAAAAATGCTTTTGATTAGTTTCTTCAGATCCCCTTGAAAGTGATCAGTTAGAGATGGAGTATTCACATTTCTTGAAGGAAAGACATTCACTCTGTCCCATTTCCACTGAAGGGGTGAGCAAAGGAAAGAACGTGGAAATGAAATACAGAAGAAGCAGGCTCTATGTAGGAAGGGTTCCTTGCCTGTAGGAGTGAGCAGCTTCCCGATTAGAGGATCTAAGAGGTCATAGGCCCCCTTTCCTATCCTCTCCAACAGGTCTTAGTAGCTGGGGCAGTGTGTTCAGCCTCACCTGGTTATTTCTTCTTTCAGAGCAGCAGGGTCTGCAGGGTAAAACTTCACACGGAAGCACATGGTGAATGGAGGCTGGGCTGCAGAGAAAAAGAGGGCACATCAGGGAAGCCCCTCTCCCGGAAGATGACTGGGCTGTCCTCCCACCGGCATGCATTGTCCACCGAACAGCAGAAGAAAACCCTCATGTGTTTAAGGCCAAATGATACTCAGGATAACGGCAATTCACGTATGTGGAAGGATAACGGCAATTCACGTATGTGGACCACGGCTTACTACATGTGGGAAGTTTCATCCTTCCCTCCCCGGGGGTGGGGGGAAGCTTCAGTCTTTTCATGGAGAATAAATACTTACATCGCAATTGCTTCACCACGGACTTTGTAAACTCCAACCAATGCTGAAACAGAGAACACAGAACATTAAAACCCTAATGAGAAGCACTGTCAAAAATAATTTGTTTTATCCAATTTAAATAACTAGACAGATTATAGCCTAGGGTGAAAGCAGCCCAGCAGCTTGTGAAATATAGGTTGGGAGAGTAAAAAGTGATATGATTTTCTGAAATAAGCTCCCCGTGGAACCTAGCTGGGAAGGGGGGATAGTTCCAACTTTAGATGCCATTTCTGGGCTTCCCTGGAAGTGCTGCCTTCCAAGGCAGGGTGCCGAAGTTCTGAGCCATCATCCTGGCAGGCAAGTAGGCACGAGCGACTCACGTACATGTGGTGGCGACAAAGCCCCACCTGGCTTGAGTAGGGAAATGCTGACGTGAATAGGTGGTGTGTGTTTGTGTTACCTACTAAAGGTTTTTGGCAGTGGAATGGGGATAGAGGCTATTGGAACAACTCTAGAAAGTACTGACAAGTAGAAATTCATAAAGCAGCAATGGCTGGTGCATATTCCACCTTTCTTGGAGTAACACAGATTGCCAACCCTTGAATTAGAGAACACATACTCAGGATTCCTTGGCATCCATGGATGTCTAAAGTCTAAGTTTCATAAGATAACTAACCACAACTAATGTGTATGTTAGTATCCTTCTTCCCTTGGATTTTCTTTTATTTCAAAATATTAAGGGGGTACAAATGTCTTTGTACTTACATGGCTTTTCAAAGAGGCAGGACATAGCATAGTAGCAATATAATTTTTCCCATAGTACTTACGATTGGGGGAAGGAAGCAATGAAACCATTCTATATATGTTTCTCAATTCTACATGGGTCCTTTATAAAATTACACTATTAATGTTTGCTGCTTTTATGCTAATCAGGATTGGCTAGCACTGCTATTATTTGGGCTTTGATTATCTGGATGTAGCTTAAAGCTGCCAGATGTAACTTTTGTGAGGGGAGAAAACTGTATTATTTAACCCTGTATCACTGGTGCCTAGCAGAGTGATCAATGTGTAGCTATTGAATAGAAAAAGAGACTGGGTCCACAGTTCTGTTCTGGCTACTTCCACTTAGCATACTGTTTTGGCAGAGTCCTCCCTCCAGCAGGAAAGCAGCCAGGGCCATGCAGACAGCATCCTGGCCTCCCATGGTTCCCAGCTATCACCTTCTGGGCTGGGCCATGGGTCATGCAGTTAATGGACCCACTAAGAGCCAGTTCTTCCATCAGCTCCACATGGATAATCCAGGCTGACATTCTGCTCTCTTGCTTCCTCTGATCCAAGTTCCCACGAGGCTGGCAACTCATTATAGCCACTCAATGTGGTTAAGAGGTCCTTCTCACATTACACGGCCCACCGCGGCTTGGCTTCACGGGGAAGCAAAGGCAAGAGATGAAACTGCACAGCAACAACTGGGGTTCCAGGCTGTGCCTGTGAAGGTGGAGGAGGCCGGTCTGCTCAGAGCACACTGGAATTGCATATGGTGAGGGGAACATAGCAAGAGTCAGGGAATCAGTAAACAGAACACCCCTAGACATCAGGCTGATAGATTAAAAGGAATTAACAAAGGAAGTTCTAGAGGAATTAAGAAGAATGACTATGAGATGCGTTATCAGCAGAGGGCAGATGGAGCTGAACCACAAAGAGGCTATTCCCTTGGCCATAGCTGAAGAAAAGACTTCGACGTGTACCGTAGTGAGAGCTCAAGGAAGGACTGAGGCTGGAAGAGTTCAGGAAGAGGGTGGGAAAGGAGTGGAAAGCTGCCACAGCTTGTCAATGGGATTTTAAGAGTCTGGGAGGGAAATCTTGAGAGGATCCCAAGAATATGGGGAGGCCAGAGTTGCTTTTTGCAGCTGCCTGGCTAAATCTGGGTCCCAGAATCACTTAGCAAACTGGTGACATGGGCTTGGGGAGAAGGGATCAGAAGAGGAAAAGAGGATTCAGAGGGGAGGGTTTCCTCTTGTATTTGGGTGAATGGGCCAATGTGGCACCATCTTGAGACTCTGGGGCCTTGACACGGTGCACAGGAGAGGCTGAGGGCAGGCGGAGGCCCTGAGCCTGAGTCAAGAACAGCAGGGCGGGACAGTGGGGGACCAGGAGAGACCTGCAGAGCTCCCAGAGCAAGCAAGGATGTGGGGATGGGGCAAGTGCTGGGTCATACCTGGGAAAGAGGTTTAGTTTAGAGCCTTACACCCTGAGGGAGCCAGGGAGCTCACCTCCTACATCTCTACCATGAATCCGTGGATCTAGGACAGCAACTCTTGCAAGTCCATTTCACCACAGCCCCCAGGTACCCCCCCTTCAAGTCTCTCTGCTCTCTTTAACTCCTCTCTCAAAGCACAGACTCACCCAACTTTCAGAAACTATCAGGTATAAATTGAGCATGGAATCTGAGAAATCATACAGGCCCTGGAGTAGTTCACAACTGGCTTTGACACTTACCGTGGGGAAGTTACTTAACCTATCTGAGACTTCATTTAGTCTTCTGGAGAACAGATATTGTAATTATGGACACTCATCTCATTTGTGTTAAGGAACAAATGAGATGACATATGTGAAGCTCTTAGCTTAATGTCCACACAGCTTGGTGAGCAATGTACACCAGCTGAAAGAACCAGGTTGTGTTCAGCGTGGAAGAGGCTGGCACACAGCAGGCACTCCACGAATGTTAACTTCTCTTCTTTCCCATTTTCTTATCTCTTTCTAGCTCCTTCTCCTTTTAATCTTTATCACCTCCACTAACCACTCTGACCTAACTAAAATATAATGAACAGGATACATTTTGCCCTTTTTTCTCCATACACCACCTCCTCTGGGAGATGATGAATCTTGGGGTAACTGGCCTTTCTTTTTAAGGATAGAAAAAGCTCAGACCAAACAAAGCAAACACCATTTATAAACACAGTCCATCATTATTTCCTCACATCAAAGGGGATGCCAGACAGTACTTCCCCACCAACAGCAAACACCAGGCAAGTGGAAGTTATAGAAACTGCAGGTGTCTGTGAGCTGGGAGACTGGGCAAGTGGAGGTGAGAAATACAGTGCTATACAACATTAACTTCCTCACCCATTCATTCCTTTGGCAAATATTTATTGAATACTAACCACATTCTAGGCCTTGTGCTAGTTACGTGGGAGACAGTGATGAATGAGATGAAGTCCACGCCCTCAAAAACTTGTATTTTTTTGCAGGGAACACAGGTGATCAAACAAGTAATCACAGCATGGTGTAATAAGTGCTATGGGCCAGGCATGGTAGCTCATGCCCGTAATCCTAGCACTCTGGGAGGCCAAGGCGGGAGGATCACTCAAGGTCAGGAGTTCGAAACCAGCCTGAGCAAGAGCGAGACCCTGTCTCTACTAAAAACAGAAAGAAATTAATTGGCCAACTAAAAATCTATAGAAAAAATTAGCCGGGCATGGTGGCACATGCTTGTAGTTCCAGGTACTCAAGAGGCTGAGGCAGGAGGATCGCTTGAGCCCAGGAGTTTGAGGTTGCTGTGAGCTAGGCTGACACCACAGCACTCTAGTCCAGGCAACAGAGTAAGACTCTGTCTCAAAAAAACAAACCAAACAAAAAAAAAAAGTGCTATGATAGAGGTAGTAGAGAGTTTATGGGGACCATAGGAGATCCCCTAGTTTAGAGTGAGGGTTAGGGGTGACTTCCTGGAAGAAGTAAAAGTCTAAGCTAAGACCTTAAGTGTGAAAAGGAGTTAGAAGAAAAGCGTGGAGTGGGGAGAAGGAAGGAAAAGGAGAAGAGCGTTCTAGGCAGGGAATTGTGAAGGTGTAGGCTCTACAAACAAAGAAGGCACAAGGTGTCTGGAGAGCCACAGCATCATTCGGGGAGCAGACAGCTCAGGGGACATGAAGCTGGAGAGGTAGTCAGGGGCCTGAGACAGTGGACTTGTTTCTGTATCTGTCTGGATATCGTAATCCTTGTCAATGTCCCATGTTTGCAGAGCTGGCTGCTCTGTGTAGAGCAGAGCAAGGATTATAGGATTTGCAAGGCAACGAAAGGGCCATGTCAGTTTGTCTCTATCTCTGTCCTACCTAGACTGGGTTGGTGGGTTGGTGTGGCACCTCGGGTGGGGCCCTTCCTATCCAGAACAATGCAGTTCAGCCCACTTATTAGAAAGGGGGCAGGAGAGGCTCACCCTGTGATCTGGGCTCCGAAACCACAACACTAGCCCAGCTGCTGTACCTCCAACTGGGCAACTTTGTGCAAATCACTTAAACTCTCTAGTCTGCCAGTTCCATATCTGTAAAATGACAAGCTTCTCTAGGTGAACTCTAGCAAAGGTACCTTTCAGGTCTAATGATATGATTTGAAGAGATGACATCCAACTGCAAAACCTGGCTGGTCCCTGACTCCTGGGGCTTAACTCTGAATATGAGTGACAGTTCAAGGCCTTACGCTTATTGACTTGTCCTGTCTTCTCTTTGTGCTTCGAATATTGACTTACCCGCTGCTTATCTGGGTCTACAAAGCGGATCCCAAAATAGTCTTTCTCAAGTAGGTTCAGGTGGTGGCACAGAAGGTCAAACAGGTACTGGCCTTTGGCATCTCTCTGCAAAACAAGCAAGCTCCATTGAGAAGTGAGCGGGCTTCCCCAGTGTTTTTACAGTCATTAGACATTGTTTATAACTGTTGCATGTGTATATGGAAGGAGCACACATCCATAACTATGTTCTCCATACTGTGATACATCAGATACTTTCCAGAATCCTGAGGCGCCAGGAAGGACCCACGAACCCTTCCCACCACAAAGCAGCCAGAGAAGTCAGGTAAACCCAGTTCCAATCTCTAATGCACAAAGCTTTCTTAAGCCAGTGGGAGTAGGCAATGTTTGTGTGCAATACAGCATTAATTGGTAAATACCAAGTCCAGCTGGCTCTGCCTCTAAAGTAAATCTGGAATCCATCTATTCTCTCCATCCCCATTACCAACCAAGGGTCAGGCCGCCATCACCATCCCACCTGGACCACTGCCAGAGCCTTTTAACTACTCTTTGCTCTGCTCTTACCTTCCTCAGTCATTCTCCATACAACAACCAGAATGATTGCAATTTATTATAGACATAATGTCTTTTTTAGTTAATAAATTATATAAACACATTGTAAGATATTCAAACATACATAGGATCAAGAGTAAGTCTGCCTCCTGCCTTAGGTACGTTGTTCCTTAGTTCCTCTCCCCAGAAGCAACCTGTTATCAGTTTCTTGAATGTCCTTTATGTGATATTTTATACATGGGCAAACATACATACATATACAACTCCCCTCTCTCCCTTTCTTCCCTCTTTCTCTATTTCTTTTCCTCCTTCCTTCCTTTCTTTTTAGAGACAGAGTTTCACTCTGTAGCCCAGGCTGGAGTGCAGTGGCATCATCATAGCTCACTGCAAACTCAAATTCCTGGACTATAGGAGTGTACCACCACGACAGGCTAATTCTTTCTTTCTTTTCTTTCTTTTATTTTGTTTTGTTTTTGATACAGACGGGGTCTCACTATTGCCCAGGCTGGTCTTGAACTCCTGGCCTCAAGTGATTCTCTTGCCTTGGCTTCCCAAAGTGCTAGGATTATAAGTGTGAGCCACCATGCCTGGCCTTACATCTTCTCTCTTAAAAATATATTTGTAAGTCGGGCATGGTGGCGCATGCCTGTAGTCCCAGCTACTCGGGAGGCTGAGGCAGGAGGATCGCTTGAGCCCAGGAGTTTGAGGTTGCTGTGAGCTAGGCTGATGCCACGGCACTCACTCTAGACTGGGCAACAAAGCGAGACTCTGTCTCAAAAAAAAAAAAAATATATTTGTAACATTTTTATAATCTATTCTGTTTCTTGGGGTTTTTTTTCCCCCTCCCACTTAGGATATCTTGAAAATCTTTCTTGCAGTACATATAGATATACCTCGCAGTTTTTAACTGCATACGACTGTAATGAACCCAAAGTTATTTGTCCAGTTCCACTTTGACGGAATTAGTTTCTAATCTGCTATTACAAACAATGTGGCAGTGAACACACAATGATCTTTAATTACCTTCCCCACTTCTACTTAACACCATCAGTGGCTTCCCATTGCTCCCAGAATAAAATCCAAACCCTGATCCTGGCCTTGAAGGCCCTGCAAAGCCTGGCTCCTGACTTCTCTCTGAAGTTAATTCAAATCATTCTCACTACATTCCAGCCATGGCCTTTCTGTTCCTGAACACTCTGAGGCTCTTCTGCCTCTGTGTCTTTGCATTTCCCATGCCTGGAATGCTCTTCCTACAACCCTACTCAGCTACTCCCTGTATTTTTCATGTCCTAGCTCAAGAGCACTCTTTGCAGGAGGTCTTCTCTTCTAGAATGGCCCTCCAAGGTACTTTCCATCTCATTACCCTGTTTATGTCCTTGATGGCATTTGTAACAATTTGTAATCATTTTGTTGGCTTGTTTATTTATTGCCTGCTTCCTTTCTAGACTGTAATTTTCATGAAGGCAGGAACCTTCCCCAGAACTTAGCACAGGGCTTGATACTTGGCAGGTAGGTACTCAACAGTTATTTGCTGAATAACTTTGAATGAAAAGAAGGGTAAAAGGTTGGCAAAAAGGTTTCACAAAATGGTGAGAAACTAGGCTGTTTATAACCCATAACCTTTTACTTCAGAGACCCTCCTGGGTACCTGGGATGAAGTGGGTGGAGAATGACTTGCAGGAAACTATCAAAACATCTGCAGCCCTGCAAAGCATCAACCTGTGGGGCAGCTCAGCTCAGATGATTATCTCTGGTGGTTCTGTGTCTAATTCTGCATCCAAACTGAGGCTGTCTGATAAGATCCCAAGATCTCACCCTGTGCCAAAGCCCAAGGGCATGGGTAATTTACAGAAGGGTCTGGCCCTGCTCCAATAATGGGCATATTTTTAAGACCTTTACAAAAGGTTTACCTGTCACCTCTTCCCCTTCTGCTGGCTCACCCTGTATTATCCGTGGAGAACTGGGGCAGGATACTAAATCTCTCAGCAAATATCTTAAGAAGCTTATCCTTGCAGGAGCTGAAGGATGGGTGAGTGGACAGCTCAACTACAGAAGGAGCCAACATGTGGGCCCCTCCCCTTCCTCTCCCGCTGGCCTCACACTCCCTCTCATGACACAGTCCTGAAGCGGTTGGCCCCATTCCCTGTCTCTTCTGTCTCCCACCAGAGAGAACTATTCCCAGGATAGAGACTTATGAATCGCACTGTTACTTCTGGGTGGTAGACAACAAACCGGGTCTTTCAAAGGACTCCGTGAGCAACTGTCTCCTTGGGTAGGGCCTGCCAACTACTTCTTTACTGATGCCCTAGAGTATCTGAAAAGCTTAAACTGATATTTAAGGTTCCTCTATGAGAAGAAATATGGTTAACTCTATCCCACGCAGCATGTCCTACACTATTATCTTAGAGCAACTAAAATGGAATAGTAAGAGTGGCATATTATGATTATTTTTCTCTACAAATTTTACTTTGCACCAAGCTGGCTACTATAATACACTGTGATCAGCTGGTATGAGTTTTAATGGCTAAAGAAATTCACTTCCATACATACAACAACCATATTAGCAAGGGCCTGGGAGAGAGACAGCCGTAGGGAAAACGTGCTTCTGTGATGGAAATCCTATGGACTTTTAATAAGAATCCACCTTCCATAACAACGACTCACTCTCAGGGGCTGCAAGCTCCGATGTGCTTATCAGGCTCTTAACTAGTAAGAACCCTAAATTCAGTAGATCCAACTTCAGAGTTCTCCCACTTCTCAGGAAGAAAAAAGCAGCACAGGTTTTCTCTTGCAGAAGTTATGAAACAAGGACATATCCCATTATACATCCCCTGCATCTATAAAAGAGGATCTTTTTCTGTTTACTTCTCAGCATCTGGTGAATCCCCTGGTTCCCCACCATGAAGTAACAGTTCCCTCAGGTTCCCATTTCCCAGTGGCAGATTCACGGTTTTGAGCTATGAGGCTCTTGCACAGACTAGAGAAGAGAAGCCGCTGCTCTAAGGCTGGGGGTGGGGGTAAGAGGAATGGGGAGAGAGGAAGGAACAGAGCTCCTTCTTAGCAGAATGCCATGAAGTTTAAGTGGCAGAAACACAAAGGTAGAAACCTACCAAAAGCTCTGCAGAGGCACCTTTCCGAGAAGGCTGCAACACAGCCCTCCCCTAAGGTACATGTGCCCGTGGCTGACAGAGTGTCCCTGAGGCAGCATTCAGGCGCAGTCACATGCAGCTGTGCCATCCTGATGGGCTCACTACAACAAGCCACTGGCAGGGGCAGGATTTTAGGAATTTTACAGTTTCCTGGCCTCCTGGGTCCCCTTGCACTTCCAGATGCCGGCTGAGTCCTAGGATAACCTCTCCGTGGTCTCCCAGCCCTAAGTCCCAGGAGTTTCTGGAATATTCTTCAGCAACCAGTCTTTCCTTTGGAGGACGGCAAAGCCCAGTGACTTCTATCTTCTCCTCCCTTTGCAATGACCCTGGCACGATGGCTAAACTGTGCGTTGAATGTTGTGCCATCGATTACGCTGGAGAAACAGGCGCTTGTGCTGACAGGCGATTACTGTTTAGTCACAAAGTCAGGGCTCCAAGCCTAGGGACGTTTATCTTCAGGACAAGTGAGCTGAGGCGGAGCACCCAAGTCCTTACCCTCCTGCTAGACTTCTGAGGTTATTTTCTTCCCAAAGACATTATTGGGTCAAAATAACTTATTAAGCACCCATTTAAAAAATACATTTATATTTTATGAGCCACGACAGTACCTACACTACACATATTTGAAAGTAATTGTGCCTACGAGTACAACCCATTTATTCTCTCTCTATGCAAAGAATTACCCAGGAACCTGAGTAATCATTCTGCAACGGTGGGGGTAGCAGAATGCCTATTCTTGCTCCTCCTGGCTGGGTCTGCTTCTCTACGGTTTGCATTTCTTTAGGGAAGGGACTGAGGCAGCTAGCAGTAAGCAAGCTTGGGCCAGTGACCTTAACTATTCAAGGTTAATTGCATTTTCTGCCTCATAGTCAATACCCTTGGGCAGGAGAGAAGCTTAATTTTAGCCCATCATAGATGGGGTCAACCCCGGGGACTCTGGCATGCAGCATTCTAATGGGGGAAGCTAAGATGCAGAAATCCCCCCATCATCAGACTTCGCTTTATTCACTCCTGTTTACTTGTGAGGCACATGGATTTTAAGTGCAAACTAAATGAGGCTTGCAGAGGCAAGAGCAATCACAACTTTCTCTGAGTTGTTTACAGGGGAACTGGCCATGGTTTCTCGGGCCCTCAGAGGAGGCAGCGTAAGATGGGGGATCATGGAAAGTGGGCACCTGTGGCCCCCAAAGTACTGAGTCCAGGAGTGGAAAAAGGCCAAGATTGGAGGTCTGGGGGAAAGGGCAAGAGCTGAACCAGTTGTCCTCAGAGGCCTGACAGGGAAGACACAGGCAGTAGGGATGAGATGACACCTCAGCCTCCATTCTAGCCTAACTTTATATTTAAATTCCTTGTGGGCCAAAGACTTCCTTGCTTTCCTTATCGGTGTCCTCTAAGGACACGTGGGGT